GCTTAGGGAGAGTGAGGAATTTGCCCCGTCAAGGTCACCCAGCAACATGACAGATCTGCATGTTAACCTGTTCTGTGTGACCGAGGTCACACTCAGAGAGCCTTGAGCTCTCTTGCCTCGATCCCAGAGGCAGAGATGGAGTTCTGGATGGAGGATTCAAAGACCATGCTCCTCTCAACAAACAGGGTGGACGGCAATGCTTGTCAAACTCTGGTCCTCACACCATTGCATCAACGTCTCTCGGGAACTTGTTAGAAGTGCACATTGTCATGTCCTTACCCCAGACCTACTACAAAGACTCTGGGTGCCCAGCAATCTGAGTTTTCCCAAGCTTTCCTGGTAATTCTGGTGTTCCCCAAAGTTTGAGAACCACTGGTCTTGGGGATACAATCCAAATTTCTAGTCCAAGTTGAGTTTAAAAATGCATAAGTACACAGAATATTGAGTTTGGTTTTGGTCACCATACTTAATTTCTTTGGAAATCTCAATGATGTTAAAAGAGGAAGATTTTTAGTTATCAAAAAGGGGAGTGTAAAGTTTGAAGGACTTGAGAATAACTCATATAATTCATTGTAAGTTATAAACTAAGAAATTTATAAATTAATTGAAATAACAGCATATCCACTAATACACCATCGGGTACAGGAGATGAACAAGTGCTGACGGGAAGCAGAATGAGGAATTCAGAAGAGTTTTGAGAACAGCATTGAAAGAGGCAGAAGACTTTTATTTGGAAAGGGGGATGATACAGGGGTTTGAGGAAAGCGCTGAGCCAGGACCTGGAAGGTCAAGGCAGAGAGAAACTGACACATCTGGAAGTAAAGGGACCAAACTGGAAAGAGAGGAATTTGGAAAGGCAGAATGGACCAGTTTGGACTTCCCAGGAAACTCTACTAGAATCCTCAGCAAAACAGCACGTCGGAAGAGCTCTTAAGTGGCTGAATCAAAAAAGGAAAATGGATTGGTTTATGTCACTGAAGTTCAAGGATAGCCTGGCTTCAGGCTGCTGGATCTGGGGGCTCCAGCAAGGTCATTACTTACGGGTCCTTTTCTGCCATCTCTGAGTCAGCTCCTTTCTCAGGGAAGTGACCATCGCGTGGTGATAAGCTGGTGGCCAGGCACTCTGTGCCCACGTCTCAAATTCTCAGAAGCCCAGACAACGTCCTTGAATTGAGCTTCAAGTTCAGATAAGCTAGACCCCATCCATGTCCTTCCTGGAAGAGGGGTGAGTAGAGCTGCTGACACCTGGACCTCGTGGACTGAGTGGGAGTAGGTGGTTCTACTGAATAGATATTGGAGAGGTGTGCCTAGGTCCTGAGGCCGCCGCCGTGACCCACGTACAGACCAATGAGGGCCAGGCTGGCAGTCATTCCTGCAAAACCAGCGAGGACAGCCTTTGACCATCACTGTAAAGAAAGGATCACCGTGACTTCTAACAGCACAATACCTCATTGTCATGCCTGGAGTACAGGAGAGAGATGAGTTGATGATCTTTTTGGTCACGTGAAGATAGGACGTTCAGAGAAACAGCAAAAACTCAGTCTTACCGTGGGAGGTTTTCGTAGCTGCTGGTGGGAGATCCAGCAGGCACTGTCCATCCGGCCAGAGACGTAAACTACGGATATTTGTCCTCTACATTCTTATCCTTGAATTCTTAGTGCAGAGAGCTGGCAGTGCATACATGCCTTTTTGTTTCCTTTGTCAAACTAGATATTTGGGGGGTAGGGCTGCGTCCCTGCTCCCAGTGGAGCTGGCAGCGTGGAGAGCCGGGCTATGTTCTGGACTTCATGACCACGGTGCACACTCTGAGAACTCAAATCTTCCGTCCCTACTGACTTTCTTTCCTTCCCCGACTCTAAGCTTTGACATAAATAAATCTCAGGATGAAAAGTGGCCCATGTGACTTTCTAGAGTTAAAAAATATACACACATTCCCTGTACTACATGTAGATGGATGGAAACCATGCAAAATACTAGAAGCACGTTAGCAACGGGAACGTGGTTAACTCCTATCAGCCAGATTTAGCCTAACCCTCCACCCACGTTAGGTGCTTGATCAATGCTCATTACCTGAATGGAGCAGCTGACCAGAAAACAAAGTTTTCAGTTAATTCCTGACTGGGCGTCGGATATCTCCCATCTTGGGAAAGTCACTTGTCTTCTACATCTTCATTAAAAACCAGACTACTTACCTTTTGTGGAATGATTTGGGAAGAATCACCCAAAACAGAGTAAAACACTTGGAAAATAAAGTGATGCTGAAATGTTAAATCCGTCATGGAGTAATCAAGTTTTAGAACAAAATAGAAATGTTCAGTGGTTTTTAGTCTTAATAACCGATAGGGTCTCTGGGTGGGGGTGATTTATCATGGTTCCCTGCAGAAGCTTTAACTGTAGCTAAGAAGAGCGAAGCTTTCCAAGTGTGCACTAGCACTAAAGTCAGACAGTGTCTTCATTAGAGTGTTAATTGTTAGACGTGGAAATTAAACTTGGCAACATGACAGGGAAGCTGACATCAGGGTTATTAGTTTGAAAAGATTGCCACTCAGATCAAATCAGATAATGCTATTACCGCCACCCCTGGCACGCTCAACACGATAAAGAGAGTGGAGGAAATAAACCCTAAGTTAAACAGCTGTGCGTGTCTCCCCCATCTTTGGGGCTGCTGTCATAATAGTGGAAGGTTAAATACAAAATCAAAGCAGGAAGGCTTATCACTGATTGACTCCTATACACATCTTAACACTTCATTAGTTCCGAACTAATTTTCCCCAAGGCTGTAAAAAGACAGCATTTTGTTGCACGAGAGAAGTAAACTGTGCTGGTCAGTTTGAACCAAGTGTTTTTAAAAATGCACACTGTGCTCTCCTAAGGGATTTGTTCCTCGTGCCTCTGTAGCATGAAGGCATTTCGAGGGATGACAAGGAATTCCTACTGGGAATTTGGTAGAGCTTCTGTAAATAGGAGAGTTCAATCTTCATTTCTCTCCCTCAATCATGGTGAATTACTGACATAGAGCCCGCAAATGGAAAGAATAAAATCAGCTCTTTGAGACCTCTCTCACCTTGACCTTTCCCTCCCACAGTGTTTGCAGTCAATGCCGGTAATGATACCCTGCGGTTTAGTGATCACCCAGTTTCCTCCCTGACTTTCGCTTAGCGTTACCATAACACCTGACATCGCGCCCTGGTCTGCCTCTCGTGGAGACTGCAATGAGTAAGGGTTAGGCTGAAAGCCCATTAATAGCTTTGGAAAGTACTTTACTTGTTCCAGATTTTGAGTGCAATGATCCATCACTAAATCCATATTCCCTACTGAAATTTAATTGTTCAGTTTTCTTTTTCTGGCTCCACATTTTACAGCCAGGAGTTAGATTTGGGATGGGCTCCTGCGTTCTGGATTGGAGTGGGTTAGGGTTTCAGGTAGTGCAGACATGTCATGTGGCCACCTGCACCCGGCACACTGGTGATGCTGCCTGTGTTGTGGTCTTCGCTTCTGGGGACCACGCTACAGCCAGGGCTCCCTGGAAAGTGATGACTGTCTGTGCCCCGTGCCCGGCTGGTCATTGTAAATGCCTCTGGCATGAGCAACCTCTGGATCTCTGAAGTGGACAGCCAGGCAAATGTCTTCTAAAATGGGTTGTAATTAGCCTTTTCACGAATGACAGATTGCCTGCCTTCCTGCAGTGACTGTTTTCAGTCTGGCCACTCATGATGCTGCACGCCCTTTTCTATAGCCCTCTGCTGCTGAGTCACGCAGCCTGTTTTGTGCAGGAGGGGTGCCTGTTTTGGTCCTCAGGCACTTGGTCCTTCTCTGCATTTGGTAGGTGTAAATGCCACTGCGTACATGTGCTACTGAAGTGCTGGGTTTTGAAAGAGCCTTCCTTAGGGTCTGTTCTATCACATCTCCTAGCACTGGACTCATCAAGGTATCAAGGGGTTGAGTTGGCCGAGCTCTCCGTCTCTTTCTCCCTTTGCTTCTAATCTCCCCTGTCCACTGAGTTGTTCTTTTTTAAAAATTAACTTTTTACTGAAGTATAGTTAATTTACAATGTTAGTTTCAGGTGTACAGCAAAGCCATTCAGTTATACATATACATACGTGTGTGTGTGTGTGTGTGTGTGTA